AGTCTTTGTGTTCGAATTTTTTCGAATTTTATCCTTAATTTTCGAAAAATTTCGTGTCAAAAAAAAAAGTGTCATCTAGTCCTTTTGTTTGATATTTTTTCGGTTATTACCTTTTTGTGAAGGGGCCGAATTTCTTTTCTTTTTGGGTCGAAATTTTTGAAATTCTTGCTCGAATTTTTCATTTATTTTTCGATTTTTTTTATAGTCTTAAAAAAAAACAAAAATATGTCTTATGTACCAATGGACGAGATGGATTGGGAAGATCTCGAACTATTGGAGAGTTTGGAGAGAGAACTTACCCCATGGGAAAGCACATATCTAGACGAGCTCCATGAACGAAGAAATCGGGAAGAATACGAGCGACAACTCGTAGAAGGCCGAGGAGCAAGAGAGGGTGAAGTTCAAGACCGTGAAGATGATGGTGTGCTCAATTTTCTAATCCTTGAGGACAAGGAAAGTCGTGAAGAGGAGGGGAATGATACGGAAGTGGTCATCAACCCAGGTGAGACCGACGAGGAAGAGGATGATGGTCTTGACATATGGCTGGAAAACATGCTGGAGGAGCCGACAAGTCCAATATACCGGCCATCATGCGTACGAGATTGGCCAAAAGGGTGTGGCCCGCAATCCAAGCTTAAGCCTAAGAAGCGCAAGACCAAACGAGCTCGAAGGAAACGCAAGGCCAAGGCTAAGGAATCATACTGTTGGTGTTAGCCTTGTACAAGGAAGAGACGAGCACGAAAGAAGGAGGCTAGAAGGCGTGGGTTGCGAGGGGTGAAAGATGGGTGGTGGATTCCGGCAGACGATTGTGAGAGGTTGAAAGGTTGGGACCCATGGCCCGAACCAACGATGACGATCGCCGACGAGAAGGACGACGGCGATCGGCTAATGGGCGAATGGCGCGCATCGGCCCATGATGCGCGCGGTTGGACGGAACAGGATGATGTGCGCAGGAACTCGATGAGCGGGCAAGTCGCGGACGTCGACTGGGACGCATTGGCGTTCGGTGGCGTAACGTCGGGGCGCGATAGGCGCGCGGGTGAACAGTCCGCTGGCGGGGAAGGTGCGT